GAAAGAGAAAGAGAGAGGCAGCACAAACTGGGGAGGAGGAGGAGAAGCAGGCTCCCCACGGGGCAGGGAGCCCAACACAGGGCTCGATCCCAGGATCCCGGGATCATGACCTGAGCCGAAGGCAGACGCTTAACTAAGCCACCCAGGTGCACCCCCCTCTTTTTTAAGATTTATTTATTTCAGACAGTATGGTGAGGGGCAGAGGGAGAGGGAGAGGGAGAGGGGAAGCAGACTCCCCACTGAGCTTAGGGCCAGGACTCAGGGCTCAATCTCACCCTGAGATGATAACCTGAGCTGAAATCAAGAGCTGACGCTTAACCAACTGCACCACCCAGGCACCCCAACAGCCAACTGAAAACAGGTCAGGATATCAGAGGGAAGTTATGGCTAAAAAGGAAGATTTTAAAGTCACCATGTGATAGTGAACTGAGTGATACTGAACCTTTGACAAGACCTTTAAATTTAGGTATTAAAGACTATCACCATAAAGTTAAGTCTGGGAAGTTCTGTACCATTGGTAACTTCCCTTTGACAAATCCTGCAGGACCTATAATGGCAGTTTTTCGACAGCTAAGAATTTATGTAGCTATTGTTTCTTAATTCTTAATTGTTTCATAATTATTAAATTTAATTATTAAAATTTAAGGATTTTTCATTCAATTGATGGATAGACTTCCTATAATTAGACACCAGAATGTCATGAATTATGTCCAACTATGCAAGATAAGGGATCTATGACGTAAATACCTATCATATGCCACACTTTCTATATGAGTTGTAACATTTAATTCTTTTTTAAAAGATTATTTATTTGAAAGAGAGTGCGCGCGAGAGAGCATGAGCAGGGGTAAGGGGGGAGTGGGGAGGGGCTGAGGGAGAGGGAGAAGCTGATGCCCTGCTGAATAGGGAGCCCGATGTGGGACTCGATCCCAGGACGCCGGGACCATGACCCGAGCTGAAGGTAGATGCCTAACCAACTGAGCCACCCAGGTGCCCCAACATTTAATTCTCATAACAATCTCCACAATCGTTATTTTTACCAAGTATTCTTTTTCTTCTTACCAGTTTTATGTTACTAAGTTCAATGGTTGCTTCCATGATTCTAACCTCCTCAACCTCTCAGTATCATTCCACAGTTGGCCACTGACGTTCAGTGACAAAACCCTTCTTGCAACACGTTCTTCTCTTAAACAGCCTGACTCTACAATCTCCTGGAAATGTTCTTATGCTAGGACGCTCCTCTGCTGGTTCACGAGGCCCATGCTGGGTTTGCTTCCTGTTGCTGTCTACACATCACTCCTAAGCAAATTCACCAGCTCCCATTAAATGCCAGCTTGGTTTTCTGAATACGGTCCCTGGATGAGAAGTATCAGCATCACCTGGGAAATTATTCGAAAAGGAAATTATTGGGTCCTCCTAGATGAGAAGAATCAGAAATTGAGAGTGGGCCCAGCAACTAGTGCTTTTACAAGCTCTGTAGTTTCCTTTGATGCACTCTGAAGTTTGGAAACCAGAGCTATAGATTAGTGTTTCTCATATTGCAGGCTGCGACTCGGTAGTCAAGAAATAAACTGAGCTGCAAAGAGCATTTTAAAAAATAAGTTTTTCATATGTTATAGAAGTAGTATTTTGTGAAACCTTTGTTTCAATTATAAATGCACTAAGTGTGTGTGTACACATCTATACTTGATTGTAAAGATTTTATTTATTTATTTGACAGAGAGAGACACAGCGGGAGAGGGAACACAAGCAGGGGGAGTGGGAGAGGGAGAAGCAGGCTTCCCGCTGAGCAGGGAGCCCAATGCGGGGCCCGATCCCAGGACCCTGGGATCATGACCTGAGCCGAAGGCAGACGCTTAACGACTGAGCCACCCAGGCACCCCTATACTTGACTGTTAAGTAAAATATAGGTTACTATGGATCACAATCTGAAAAAAAAAAAATTTGATCTATAGGACTATATAAGCCAGCTTTTTGATTCCTTCTTGTCACTTTGGTCTTATCTTGGCCTTTCTTTCCCATTCTACTTAATGTCGACTCCTCCAAAGCATTTATTCTCACACTATGTTGTTTTATTTTATTTAGACTATTTATCAATATTTTAACTATCTTATTGTTTATAATCTTTCTCTCCCACTAGAATATAAGCTAATAGGAAGAGAGATCTTATTCCCTGCTATGTTCCCAATACCTAGAACAATGTCTGCCCACCTATAATATCCACTCAATAAACATTTTTTGGCAGGATGAAGTTTATGACTAAGTAACTCAGCAAAGCTTACCTAAGTTAAATTATTTTTTAAAGATTTTATTCATTTATTCATGAGAGACAGAGAGAGAGAGGCAGAAGGAGAAGCAGGCTCCCCCCTGAGCAGGGAGCCCAATGCAGGTCTCAATCCCAGGACCCCAGGATCACGACCTGAGCCGAAGGCAGACACTTAACCGACTGAGCCATCCAGGTGCCCCAGATTTTAAACTATACTTTAAAATCCTATGTGTCTCATGTCTGTGATCTCTCTAATGCAATCACCCCTTCCTGGTGGGCCTAAGGCTTGGATTCCAGCCATCCACTTCACAGTCCTGGACCATAGGAAAGTTTAGAAAATCATATTTTCAGAATTGTAAAAAAGATATACTTAGTTTGGGACAATAAGAATCTGATAAGACAGTGAACCAATCTACTCTTAGTTTTGGATGGAGGAACAGAGTAGTCATTTCATGAGATTAAAAAGCCATGGGATCCATTTCACAAAGAAATATAAGAAAGCTAGAGGCTTTAGGCTCACCTACATTTTAAATGTGATCTAACACCCCATACCGTTCAAACTCTTCTGCAGAAAGATGAACAGTGAATTCAATGGGAAGTGAAAAGTATGCGGAGAAGAAAAAAATTAGAGAGCAAAACAAAAGGGAAGTCATATTCACAGCCCAAATATATTTGCTGGAGAATCTGTGAAATGTTATAGTTATAAGATGATTTAGGAATCAGAAGTCTTTTTCTGCATGCAGTGCAAATCAGTGTCCTCCTGAACCCCACTAATGCTGTGAATTTGTGCACATGTGTGAACACACATGTACATGATTGGAACTTTGGGGAGGGTGCTGCTCTTCTATCTTATGGCCTCAAAGTGATATTCACTAGATAACACCAAGCACTTTGTACCTACTTCTGCCATAGTAAATGAGATTTAAGTTAATGGGAAGTATAGATGAAGAGTACAGGCTCTGGAGTCAGAGAGTCTGGGTTTAAATTACATTTCTACTACTTATCGGCTATGTAACTTTGAACATATTCCTTAATTTTTCTGAGCCTCAGTTTATTTGTATAATTAGAGACCTCACAGGTTAGTATATCGATTGGGTTAATAATACATAAGATATCGCAATCCTTATACCAAACTCTTCAAATCCTTTTCTCCTCAGATTCTAACAAGCCTATGAGGAAGATTACTACAAGACTTCCCTTCCCCCATTACAGATGAGCAAGTATGAGCCACGAAGGGGTTAACTTGTCCATGAATTCACAACTAAATAGAACTAGGATTAGAACAGTCTTAGTCACATGCCTAAGCCAGATTTTCTAACAACTATGCAAATATGGGCATTCTAGCATCCCAGAAATTATGAATAACCAATGAGCTATCTCCACTCAGCTGCAGCTGTCCTAATACCTGTATCAGAACAAGGGATTGTGTTACATGTGCGCACACACCTATCAATCATCTCCATCACGTGTAACTCTCCAAAAGAGGTGGAGAAACAAGGCACTACAGCACATTGATCAAATTTTGTTCCCTTCTAGGTTGGTGACCCCAACAAGAAAAAAGGAGCTATGTTTTATTTCTTTCATAACAGATTTACTTAACACTGTTGGTAAAAAGCAGTTGGCTTTCAACAGAGATTTGTTGATTAATGAAGAAATAATGCACCAGAAAGGGCTCTATAAAATCAAAGTGCAAATCAATGTTTTATAAAGCCAACTAAATAATTATAAACATATCTATTTATATTCAAATTTATATACATACTACTGTATTTAGAAAAATATCGAGTCATAAAAATCAAAATAATAATAATTATTAGTAAGAGCTATAATACTTGTTGAAATTTTACCATATGGCAGGCTAAAGGCTTTATCACCTTGTTTTAATCTTTACCACACACCTGTGAAGGAAGAACCATGATTTTTATAGAAGAGGGCATGCTGAAGGTCATACACTAAGAAGTGTTACAGCCAGAATTTTAACTCTTTCGATATCTATATCGAACCCTTTTCTAAATTGTGGAAGGAACAAGATTATTTTTAAAAGAACATATTTCACAAACCATAAAATCCACCCATTTAAATATATAATCCTGGGGGTTTTACTATATTCACTATCACCACAATCTAATTTTAGGGTATTTTTCATCCTCCCCCCAAAAATTCCATGTACAATAGCAATCGGATCTAACTATATATACTTTACATGCATAAGAGATGCAAATTCTTTTAAATAAAGCCTCCATTAAATATATGTATGAATGTATATTTGATACAGCTAATGCAAAGAAAATCATGAAAGGAACTCTAAAGGAGAAAATATGACTTGGGTCTTTTTCTAATTTTGTATTAGCAACATCACCATCAGTTTGAACAGAGCAAGTAATCAAGAGCTGACATCCACATCCAACTCAGATTATTGTGGGTCAAACTGGGAGTTAAAGGACTTCTTAGCATTTTTGCATTCACATCCAAATATTAAGACTAGGAGGAAATGTAGATAAAATAGTGTATAACCTGCTGCCTTTGATATTCACTCTAATACTATATTAGCGTTAAGGAGGAAAGTTTAGGAAAATAAAGTCGCAAAAGGAGATATAACATTTTCCTTTTCAGCATGATATGCTTATACACATTTTCTAAGAACCCACAGCATTGCATTTGATAATTGACAATACTCCTGAAAGCACAATTTAATGAACTCTGCATTCACTTCAAATAATGAAAAGGAACTCACTGTTGGTAAATGCATATTCTTCTTCACTTTCGTCACTGTCCTCAGATGGAGCTTTATAAGGAGGTGGAAGTTTCATTGGAGGTGGAGCTGTTCCTTGTCTCTGAAAATGCAAAATTTGAGAGAAGGTTAATTGCCTTTGCACAATCCTCTTCCTCAATGACAAACAGGCTAAAAAAATAATCTGGAAATATTCTGACTCAATCCAAATTCAGTCATATAACAAGGACTATAAAACAATTTGTTTTCTTATATTTATGTTATTATGTAACTGACTGTGATGTAAGCACACCACTACAGAAAACAGGAATTCAAAAGCACAGCATTTAAGACTGTTGACCTACCCAGAAGAATGCATTCCCTTCCCCAGTAAGAAAGCCAATTATATATATTTTATTTACACTCCTACCAACCAAATAATCCAAATGAAAAGCATTTCAAAATCCACTGTATTAATTTTACATTTATTTAAAAATCTGTTTATCAAATTGTAGAAGGTACAGATTTCATGCTTTAAAAAATAGCTGAAATGAAATGCCAAGGTTTTCTAACTGAAAAAATATTCATCTGTAATTTATAGTCAACACACATTTTAATGTTTTAAAAAAGAAAGAAATCTTTATGATGAATACTTTTTGTATTTCGGTTAAGTATTCTTTAAATTTACACACCAAATGATGCAGCACATAAATATTTGGTTTGGACTTAATTAAAGCAAAACAAAACTCAATGATCAGATTACCTTCACAGAATGTAGACATTTTCTTGAATGCTGGGAAAAATAAAACATGCTAAAGTTTACGGAGGTCCAAGCTGCTAAAAAGAATAGGAGCTGATATACCCAAGCACTCCACAAATACCAAAATAACTGGATTAAGATTTTGTTTTGCTCCAGTGTTTCAGTAGAGTACATTCAATTATGATTTATATGACAAAACCACTAATGGCAGGATACACCCTAGTAAATGGACAATGACTGGTCCATTACAGAAAGCAGGCATGTAATAAATTCCTCCAAAGCAGAAAACACTATCTGCAATCCATAAACAAAAACACACACCCAAATTTATTTAAGATAATGTCTAACCAAAGCAGCACTTCATCTATATGTAGAAAATTCAAAAATCAGTAAAATGCAGGAGTGATGAAGAGAAGATGCCAAATACAAAATGCCTATTAAGCAACAAAAGAATACAGAAATGTGATCATGCTGTATCTTTATTCTTGCTTGGAAAACCTTAGAAGTGAGTTAAATGAAAAGAAGGCAAATGAATTCCTTTCAGTAACCTTTTTCTCAGAACCACATCATTCTAGGTCAAAAATAATAGTTGGAACAAGGACAGCCCGCTTTTAATATTAAGAGAGAGAATTCTCTTTGATGGTATTTTAAAAACATATTTCAGAGGAAACTGTTTACACCACTGATTGATTAAAATTAAATTCTACCAACACTGTGGAAAAGAATATAGAATAAGCACACCTTGGTCACCCTGAAGTTTGAATGTGGGTTGGCATATACCTGGGGCATCTTTCTACTGCACATGAGGGAAGGTTATAGGCAGGACCTAGCTCTCTCTGTGGCAATGAAGGCTGGAGCAAGGTACATACAAGGAGGCCAGGTGAATGTAATCTCCATGAGGGCAAAGAACAATAGTGTGGTATCCTCACTCCGAGAACAGTGCCCGGTACGAAGCAGGCCTCCCTTAACTATATGCTGAATGAGTAAATAACCGGTTGTCAGTCATGCCGATTAGGTCTTCTAACATATTACCTTCCAGAAAAATGACAATGATGGAAAAGGTTCTTGTCCAATAGCATTTCACATTAATTTTGTCTGGTAGAGATGCAAATTATTTTAGTCCTGTAGAAAGGATAACTCCAAAGGTTATGGTTTTATTGCCCTGTAAGACGTTAACCAGTTTTGTATCTAAATTTGAATCTAACTTACGTATTCTTTCTTTTTTTTCTTTGACACAGAGGGAGGGCGCGCAAGCAAGGGAAGGGCAGGCAGGCTCCCTGATGAGCAGGGAGCCCCCTATGTGGGGCTTGATCAGAGGACTCTGGGATCATGACCTGAGCTGAAGGCAGACGTCTAACCGACTAAGCCACCTAGGCGCCCCTGCATTCTTTCTTTGAACAATTAATAAATACTTCTCTCTCTCCAGTTCTCTCTGAACCAGGCTAACCATCTTGTTGGTTCCCTCGTTAATGAGTTAAGTAAATAAATGTACATTTTGCATTATTTTATAGGTCACTTTTTTTTTCTTAAATTATATTTTGTCAGTTATGGAGGTCTGTTCAAGTAGACTCACCTTCCAGAACCAGTTAAACAGTTATGCCTGAAATATGCAATTCATGAGCTGCATAAGCCCATATACATGATTTTTTGGCGCCCACAGTAAATCCCCAGTGGCAACAGAACTTTGTCTTTTTGACTCTGTTTCTCTTATTTCCAACCCTATGATTTTGTTTCTGATACTAAGCCAAGTTTGGCTCTGATTTGCACTTGGGCTATAAGTTATTTCCCATTAGTAGCAGCAATAAATGGAGTTTGGTGTTACGGTCTAACAATTTAGTGGTATTTGAGGGTCTATTATATATTGGTTCTACAGGGATCTATTCTCTATAGGGTGAGAGACGACAGCAAAGGTTGTTAGTCTTTGTTTGCCTGTTGCTAAGTTTTTGTATACTAACAGGTCTTGAGTGCAATGGAAATAATAGCTTTTTGACATACAGACCCGGGGGCTTGTCTACTTCTGGGTCTACATATGTCATATAGCTGAAGCTGCAGGATAGGAGCTAAAAGTGCTCTGTGTAGCTGAAAGTGAGGAAAGCCCTCACATCTCACTGCGAGAAATATTTTCCTTCCTTCAGAGGGTGCTAATAAATTAGAAAAAAAAAATCTCTTTTTGATCGGTTTGAAGAGACTAATAAGCATTAGTTAAATCTAATATTCCCAGAGTTTTCCAGAAAATAGTAAAACTAAACTCACATTACCTTAGATGTGACAGCCTTTTAATTAAAAACCAAAATCCATTTTTACAAAAACCACTAACTCAGAAGCATTTTAATGTGACAATCCAGATTCACAATATCAAAGTGATTTGGTGATTTAAATTTAGAAACAGTTTTACTTTCTTCCTGATATCCTTGATCTTACTGATGTGGTGTATAAAGCAAAAATATGTAAGACTATAAAAACATTTACAACAATGTTGCATGATCCCCACATGTCTACATGCTATGTATGTATACAGATATATTTACATATTGCAAAGTATTGTCAGCTAGTTCTAAGACCTAACAAAATGTGGAATATCATGAGAGAAAACTATTATCTGGTGCTGTTAAGAATAATCAAAGAGCACATCCTGTAACATTCTAAGTGCCACCAGGAAGATCACAAGAAATCATTTTGATCTTTGCAAAAACCTTCATGAGGTTCTCCTTCGCCCCAGGCTCTAGCATGTCCAGATTTCTCACTTGAAATAGACACCTTACGGAGGAATAATTTAAATATAATAAAATGTACTCCGTTTAAGTACTTACTTGGAATAGATACATTTTTATAAGTTTAACATGACTGTATTTTTAGGGACTATTATGTTTGGTGGGAGACGACACTTTCATTTGGGTAGTACATAAAAAGAAAAGAGAACTAACAGGAGACTACTTTTCTGTGAACGAACGTCTCCCACTTGTGTTCATGTCCGTGACTCCTTTAAGACAAAGAATATTATGATGTAAACCTGAAAAAAATTTTAGAAGGAAAATACCAAAGAGTTATGAGGATATAGTTAATATTTGTATGTCTATGACTCCTGATGGCCTGTCATTTCACACTGTGTGATGAGAAATAGCACAGACAATAGTGAACTGAAACAAAACAAGAAAAAAACTAGGAATTTATTCAAGACCTGTTTATGTATTCTTTTGTGGTTTTTTTTGAGGGGGGGTAACTTAGTTTCTTAGTCACACTCTTTTTTTTTTAAATGTGAATGATCTCAAGCCAAAATTCAGATTTCTAGCCTCCATCTGTCCTAGTAATTGGTTTCAGGTACTTTTTTTTTTTTTTTTTTAAGATTTATTTATTTATGGGGGGGAGTGACTGGGGGAAGGGGCAGAGGGAGAGGGAGAGAGAGACTCTTAAGCAGACTTGTGGCTGAGCACGGAGCCCCCTGATATCATGACCCGAGCCGAAATCAAGAGTCAGGCACTTAACTGTGCCACCCAAGTGTCCCATTTCAGGTGTTTTTTATCGTGTCTTTTTTGATTGTCTAGGTAATTCTAGAGAACATGCACTGCTTTTGTATTAAGGAGGAAATAATGCATAAAAGGAATTACTTCTAATGATACTTTCTAAAGAGAAAATATAATTTGTAATCATCTGACCTCCCAACTTTGGGAAGGTTCCCCTGTCTGCATCCTGCGCATGCTTCTATCATCATAATTATACTTCTATTTATTTTACTACGTGTCACATTCATTGGTGCACCTCTTGGAGTAAAGATGCTTCATCATTCTAGAAGGTAGTATAGTGCTTGGCATGTAAACTGTGATTTCAGAGAAGAGATACAGTAAAGTACATCCTGTAACCACTGAAAACAATTAAGTACAATCTTGTAACCACTGAAACATCCTGTAACACAGAAGCAGATACTGGTATGACTTCTCTCATTGCAATGTTAACTCAGTGGTTATTCTCTATACCAAAGAATTCAGCTGGACCAACTTTTGTGACTTCTGGTTATTACCGAGCTCTTACTGCATTTTTAAAATTTGAATGCAAATATCCTTGCTTTGTATTGAGATTCAATTTGGTTTAAAGGAACAGGCCAAAATTGATAAGAACCATATATTTATCTTTTTCCTTCCTGGGATCTTAAGCGGAATTATCCTGAATCAACTAAATTACCTTATTCCCTAAAGTAATTAAATTAGTCACCAGTTTATTCATTTGTGTGTGGTTATTACCTACGTCCCTACAGACTGATTCCTTGTCTGCTTCCTTTATGACGTTATATCCCCAGACTGCTGCAGTCCTAACTGCCACACTATATATAGGATTCCAATAGACATTTGATGAATGCTCAGATCTTTGAA